GCCTTCTGCATCCCCGGAAATGTAAAATCAATTCTGTTGCTTTTTTGTATAATCGCTCAAGTACGCGTGTGGTTTTATTCATTTCATGAATGTAATAAATTTTAAATTTTCATGAATTTTACTTAAATTGTAATAAATTTTTAAGAATGCGCATTTAAGAACGCAACCAACTTTTTTGCAATTTATCGTTCTAAATTCAGAGGCAGTTAGTAAGGACTGAATCATTATCAGTGAAAAAAAAGTTGTAAAAATGAATGTGTATGTTTCTTAAAAAAAGAAGTATCTTTTATCGTCGAATCTGACTGTGCCGGTTCCAACCGAATTAAATAAATACTCGCACCCATCGAGCTAAAATTGCTAGGAGTATCTGCAGAAATACTTCTAAAATAAACTATTGGTACAACGCCTCTGACTAAAAATATCAGGAACACGGAGACTGCTCGGACAGTCGGTGTGGGTATTCTACGCTAATGGGGTTAGTAAAATGCTCCTAGACGACGAATGCAGCTATGCCGAGTTCATCAGTCCTGACAGAAATCTCACCTAAAAAAACTTACTGTTGTTTTGAAAAAAAGCTAAAAATTTATTGTCTGTGTCACATTTATACCGAGATATACGCTTTAATTTTTTATTGTAATTTTAATTTTAAATGATGTGTGTTTATGTAAAAAGTAAGGGTTTGAAAGTAAGGGAATAAAAAGAAATGTGAATAAGTTAAATCAGAATAAAAACCTGGATAGGAATGTTTCGGTCCATCAAGTCACAGATGTTCCTGTTCAGTGCTGCAACTGGACCTCGTCAGTGTGACGGTTGCAGCAAAAATAACACGTAATGTGTCAAAAAGAAAAAGGAAAATTTAGATAATGTAAAAAGGTTAAAGCAAACGGTAAAAGTGCATTTAGGAAAACAATACCTCCATCATTATGAATATTGAACCGAAGTTGTACCTGTAAAATAAATAAAATAAAAGTGGAACTTAAACCGGAAGCAGAGTTACGAGAATCGGACAAATCTAATTAAAATTTATGTGGAAAAACTATAGCATGTATTAAAAAACCATAAAAATGATCGACGGCCGAAGATCGGGAACGCCAGCACGCTAAATAAGGCAAATAAATGAAGATGAAGAGCGGGTAGTGGTACTGTGGTAGGGATCAGAAAAAAGAAAAAAAGGGAGTCGATAAAGTGGATAGATAATAATAAGGCAAGAAAAAGGAAGGGCTAAAAAACAGAAAGTTTATTTAAAATATTACT